GCTGAACAACTACTTTTATCCTAAGACCTTTAACTGAAACAACATGCTGTAGGCCATTATCTGCCCTTACATACTTGTATGTAGTTTCCAGTGATTTAGTGACACTTGTACAATTGTATGTCAAAGTGAAATTTGTCATTATGTATCTAATATAATCATATAGTTATTCAGCTTGTGCCATAGATAATTTTATTTTGCCTGGATTTTTGTTTTCTGTGTTAGTTTTCTGGAACTACACAAAATCTAATTTGAAGGTAGATTTAGAGACTTTGAGAAGAAGCCACGCTATCCATTAAAAATGGAAAGGAGCGCATCAAAATACGTGGAATGAGAGAGATGTCTAGTAGTGTTAGAAGGAAAAGGTAAACAATCTGTATTTTTCTGCAAAGACGTTAAGGATACAAAGCGTATAATCTCTTTGTAGGGCCAGATATTTGTGGATCTGAGACAAAGAAAGTCCATGTTATTTTAAATTACAAGAATAAACCCCATCCAATCAAGAAACTGATCAGATGCAAGGTAATTACACATTTCAAAGATACATAAACTTTAAAATCAACAAGCTATAGGGATATTGGGAATTCAACATTTTTGCTTTTAACCTATGTTAAAAAAAAAACTTTTTATATGCCTTTGCTGTAGTATTTGGGATATAAATAACTGATATCAACTGAAATCATTACTTTATCTGATACTATTTCCAATATGTAGGTATGGACTGTGTTTTCTTGCAACCATTCAGTTTTGCTGAGATACCTAGATGTGAGGGCTGGAAGATACATGTGGAAAATGACCTTAAATTTGTTTTCCCTCTATAGAAGACTTTGGGAATTATTTTTTCTTACTACTGCTTATGAAAAAATCCATTGGAAATTAGTATTATAATTCTGGTGTGAGGCAGTTCCTAACAGCTATGTTAAAGGCTCTTAGAAAATTTTACTTGCTTTCTTTAAAACCCAGGTTGATGGATATACACATCTATATACTTTGATTATAAGGCCAGATCAGACTTATGAAGTAAAAATTGATAACAAAATGGTTGAATCTGGCAACTTAGAAGATGATTTAGAATTTTTGCCACCGAGGAAGATTAATGATCCAGCAGTGAGGAAACCCACTGATTGGGATGACCGAATCCAAATTGATGATCCAAATGACATCAAACCTGAGGTAGCTGGCTCTCCTTAATCTGCATGTTTGGGTTTTTTCAATTCCTACCGAATACACATTCGATATAGGTGAACTGTGCACAAGTTTTGCTTGCTTAATATTCCTGTGTCTTTTTAAAGGATTGGGATGAACCTGAATACGTTATGGACACTAGTGCTGAGAAACCTGAAGATTGGGATGACACTGTGAATGGAGAATGGCATTATCCTGTGGTCAAGAACCCTCTATACAGAGTATAAATAATCTCATAATTGTAGCTATAGAAAACTTGAAGCAACTTTTCTTTGCCTGGCTGTATTCAGAACATGTGGTTTATCCTAGGGGGAATGGAAACCAAGGCAGATCGATAACCCAAATTATAGAGGAGTTTGGCCTCATCCACAGATTGATAATCCAAATTACTCACCAGACTTCAGTATCTACAGCTATGAAAATATTAGCGTCATTGGACTAGATATCTGGCAGGTGAGATGTTTTTACTGGAAAATGAAGAACTTCTCTCTCACTGAGTATATAGCAACCTGTTTACTTTTTGCATATGAACATCACCATATTGGTTTGGGATCTTCGGGACTGACGTCTTTAACTTCCTTTTATGTAAATACATGTACAAAATTTAAAAATCTGTAAGATGCAGTGATCTTCTGTTGTAGTTACTGTTTGGATGATAACCATCTACAGGTAAGTGAGGGGCCTGAACTAATTTGTTTAAGTGGTGTAAAGTATGACTTATTTCACCTGACTTGAGGTGTGTAACTGAGGCTTCAAGCAGCTCAGTTACTCCTGACTTACCCGAAGATTAATGAGGAGAAAACTGCTCTCTGGGGTGCCTCTTGAGATCTTGCTCTATCTCAGGTTTTGTGACAAGGCAGTGATGAGACTTAAAACTTCTTAAAGAGCAGTGAAATGCCTAAAGTTAAAACAAGTTCTTCAGGTTCTTGAAAACAGTTGTCCAAAAAGAGAGAATTCTTTGTGAAATTCTGCAAAAATCCACGAGGTTCTTAACATGATTAGTCTATACTGAATATATGATACAAACATATTGTTAAAAGAAAAAAAAGAGAGAGATGACAACTCTTTAAGAGGCATCCTCGTTTTTTCTCCCTATTCCTTCAAAGGTGCGAGCTGGCACAATTTTTGACAACTTCTTGATAACAGATGATGAGGTTTATGCAGAAGACTTTGGAGATGAAACATGGGGAGAAACAAAGGTAATATGAACTTCTTGTGTCTGTTCTGGTTCTTTATTCTGTCTAATCTGATCAAGAACCTATTGGTGCATAGAAGTGAAATCTTAATTTTAGGGTCCTGAAAAGGAAATGAATGTAAAGCAGACTGAGGAAGAGCAAGAGAGAGAAAGGGCTACAGAAGAAAAATACTTTGAGCAGCGGTTTAAGAAAAGGCTAGAGAGAAAAAACGTATCTGGAAAGGATAGAGCGGTGAGGAACACTGTTGAGAAGGAAGAGCTTTAATTGTTTTTTGAAAGAAGTTCACTTTTTTTTTCCCACTTAAATTGCTTAGGGATTTTTTTCACTTAAGGATTTTGGTGTGTTGTTAACAGCTTGTAGAACTCTTCAGCAATAGAGTTGTGCTAAAGCAGGGTATGTTTTAAAAATTCAGCATTAAATTTTGTGACCAGTTTCAGTTATTTGTAATAAAAATACCATAACATAGTTCAATTCACTATAGAGAAAGTTAATTGTTTTATTAATTGTCTCTTAACACTGCTAAAATGTATTAAAAACACCTGTAATAAAACACTAGGTTTTGGAACTGGTTTAGACTCTCATGCTTTAATATTAAATGTAAAATTCATACTCATTTTTGTTGAGGAAATATCATAAGCTTTTTATGATATTTCATTAAAGGGTTCAGCATGTCAAATGTGTGAAGCGTGTTTCACAACATACTTCAAGCTAAGGAGGAGATAAGCTTTGCTAAGCTTCTGTAGTAATTGTGCACCTGTCAGAGTTTCACGGATTACTGCAGTTGTATAGCTGCCGTGAGCGCACCGTAGCTGCGCTGGGCTTTTCTGCCATTGCTTATCTGCTGATGGAACGTTCTAGCTCCCTGTCGCAGTGTGGGACTTGAGTGACAGCAGTCTGTCCATGCACAGATCTGTTCTTAGAAATCTAAATGTGTACAGACAGGTTTTTTCCGGTTCACAAATATAATATGAGTACAAGCCATCTTACATTTTCTTTTTCTGTAATGGCGGGGGGAGGAAACAGTGAACGATGTGCCTGTTTTTCTGTCTGACCTCTCTTGTAACTCTTGTAACTTGTTCAGTCACTTCCTTCACCCCTCTCAGGTCCTTCTGCTCTTCTGCATTTCACCCTTCGCCCTCCCCCCCCCAAGAGCTATACTATAAATTTAGCAAAAACTGAAGCCAGACTTCCAGAGCTGATGATTTTGCATTTACCTCTGGGCTACCCCAATGCTGGCTGAGCAGAGTTTTGTGTGGTAAGGAGATAACGGAATGGGAGGATCCATTTCTTGCCAGTGGAGTGACTGAGGTCAAATTCTTTTCCTTCTGCCTGTATTGAGTGCTGTCCCCTGTAAAACAATTCCAGTGACGCTGTGGGGTGAAGAGCTTCAAAAGCTATTGAAAAATACTATACTTACAGTCAGCTTTTACCTTTTTTCCTGAGTAAGTTCCTGTTGAACTGCTTTTCTATGACCATGCTGATCTAGCCTCGTTCAGGCTGCTGTTCAATATTTATGCATTCCAGGCAGGGATTTGTTAACTTTGTTATTTGATCATAAACCAGAGGAAGCTTGATTTGGTGAAGCCTGTTTTGACAAGGTTTAGTGGAATGAAGTAAAATAACTAGGTTTGTCCGGAGAAAGTTGGATGCAGGTCATCCAGCTAAAAGATCGATCAGTGCCTTGATTCCAGTTAGCTGGAAGAGTATGCCACAGGGCAGCTGCAGTCTTCTGTAGACCTACTTTGTCCATAACGTAGGTAGGTCACCGCCAGCCTCGCTTGAGGCAGCTTGGAGGAGAGCCACGTCTGGGCGCAGAGAGACTGCGGGAAGCAGGGGCCGAGCTGCGGCAGGACAGGACGGCGAGAGCAGCCCCAGCTCGTCGGGGCGGGGAGCGGCTGCCGGGGACAGATAAGCCGCGGCCGCTTTGTTCCCGGGTCACACGCGTCTC